TGTAGGTATTGAACAATCAAATGCCGAGGCAAGGTTGCTTGCTCTCGAGGAAGTTGTGATGCATACTCAGACTCATACATGCTTTACATGGTGACATTCATAATTTCTTTGGTTATGTGAAGTATAGAGATGCTGTGGTGGAAGCGATGTTTCAAGAAATCCTTCCCCACATTCAACAAAATTTCCCAGGCTTTCTGGATGAAATTTTGTCGGCATTCAATGCTGAGGTATCTCCCGAGCCAGAGCAAGATGAAGCCGATCCTCCGATTATTGAACCGACTCCTGATCTGTACCGTTCTGAGACCCCTGAATATCCATCTACTATACCTGTTGAAGAAACACTCAATCCCATTCCTGCACCCGATTCTTCTCATGCACCACGTAGTGGGCGACGCACCAAAACCAGGGATGGACGCATCAATATTGCGCGTCATGACTCCATTTCTTTAGATTCCAGTCGAGCACCACTATGCAAGCGCACCAGACGAGGAGCTGCCAGTAGCTCCAAGGCAACACCATCACGTAAACCATGAGGTACCTTACCAGCATTCATTTGCATTTATTGCATGACATATAGTTTTTATGTAGTTTAGTTCTCTTTAAGCATTGAGGACAATGTTTCCCTTAAGTTTGGGGGAGGTAGTGTTCTCGATAGAGCATAGGCATGATAGTATTAGTATAGTATTATGTCATGGCATCAGTAAATAGTATGACAATTAGATAGAATGTTTTGAGGATATCCGATGATGATGAACTTGTTAGGCTAGAAATTGAATGTAAATGACTATTGAGAATGATAGAACTCACTCTAGGGCTTGATGTCTTGTGAATTATTTTTACACGATTTGTATGTTCTCTATACTTAGAAGATTTAGAAAATTTTTATGAATGAACTCTAGTTAGTTTTGGCATTGAAATATAGTATTGTGCTTAAATGAAAAATCAAAAACAACTCCCTTTTATATATGAAATTGTGAATAAATGCTTAGGCATAGCTGTAGTGGGACACTCCTCTTTACCGTGGCATTGCCTGGAACTCTCTTTAATAAATTGCATACATGTGCATATGAGTGAATGAAAGTAGTCACGGGATGACTCTACTTAACTAGCTCGGGGGTGGAAGGTATGATCCCTTTCACCTAGAGTGTGGGAGAGTAGGTGTGATGAGCTGACTCCCTTCATAACAACATTTGAAAAAAATCAGGAAAAATGGAGTAAAATGGTTCTTAATGAATAAGTAAATGCCTTGAAAAAACTAGGGTACTTGAGTAGAAATTGTCTAAATTTGCTAAGTATAGATTGGATACAATCACGCACACATACTACCACAAAGAATTTTGACCTAGGGAAAAGTATTTGAATTCTTGATATGTCTAGCATGTTGAAGCCTATTTTTTTGAGGGTTGATATTCAATTTTGTCCTACTGTCCTATTGTTGAAAATTGCCATGACATTCTGCTTATGTAATTGCTATCCATTTCTTAAGGACAAGCAATAACTTAAGTTTGGAGGTGTGATAACTTCCTAAAAAGGCTACTTTTAAGACCTTTTCACTTAAGTTATTATTTGTTTAAAAGCTCATTTTAGTCATTTTAGGATCATGTAGTTGCATATAGTCGCATTTGTGGTGGTATTGCTATTTTATCTCTTAAAGGTGTTGTATGAGAGAAATGTGTAGTTGTTTGTGGTGTGCAGGGAATAGCAAGAAAAAGGGTCTCTTTGGGAAGTAATGTCGCGGCATCACGCGTTGCTGAAGCAGATTGAAATGTCTTGACATTTTTGGCACAGAAAATGGTAAAAAGATACAACTGTACGAGGACAGCTGGCTCTGCACGTGAAATAATGGTTGTAAGCGCCTGCCAGAGGACCACTGCCACCTGGAGGATAAGGTTCACACATATGGTGTGATTCTAGGGGTATGAGGGGTATTTTGCACCCAACAATCACCCCACAACCTCATCATTACCCCTAGATATTTTTATTATAGATGACACCTCACAAGGGAGAGAGAGACATAGACACATACGGACAGAGTAGAGAAAAATCCCATTTTTATTTTCTTTTTCCCTTTCTTCTTCCTTGGGTGTTCCTCCATTGATAAAGCTCCAAGGGGTGGCGAGTTATGCGTTCGAGAGGAGCTAGCGAGCTAAGGTGGTTCGTGGTGGCCGAGAAGACCTCCGGTGGCGCGCGTCGAATGCTTCTTCTCACTTCCCTTTGCTGCTATTTTTCTATTTATTTTTGGGTTGTTGGAACGAATATTTTTATGGCATGTTCTATGGATGTTTCGAACCCTACCATGAACTAACCTTATTTGGTGGTGGTTGTTTTAATGGTTGTTTAAACTTTATTTTAATGGTAGATTTATTTTTATCTTGGTATTTGCTTGCTTTGCTTATGAATACTTAACCATATAGGCTTGTAAGAGGTAGGAGAGTGTCCATTTCTTAGATGAAGGTTAGGTGTTCAAGAGAAACCTAAGCTAAAATTACTTGTAGTATTTGAGAGAAACACAAGACAAGATCCTCATAAGCAATGGGCTATAGTGTTTTTAAGAGGCTTTGAATCGGCCTAGGAATACTATATCCTAATCCCTTAGTACTCGAGAGAGACTAGGATAGGATTTCAACGACTAAAAAGGGTATTTTTATCAATAGTGTAGGCTGCCACATCGTAGAGTGAGAGCGGATGACATAGCATCCTATTCTTTTAGGTTCCTTTGACTAGATATAGCGGGAACACTTTCGACAAACCCTGTCGAGCAAGTAAAGTTTAGATAGATTAAATCTGCTTGAGAGATAAGTTTAGCATCCTTAAGTCAATCCCTACCATTCATTCCAGTGGAAGCTTGTCGTGTGAGGAATATCTACTTATCATTTACTTGTCGTTTATTTACTGTTTTTTACCATTTTTCATTGCCTTGACATTTCATCATCTTCAACATTAAACATCTTCCCTTGCCACTGCATTTCCATTTGCTACATCATCATACCATCAATCCATATTCACCAGCATACACATTTCCATTACCGTGACATTGTATATATCAACACTAACTATACATAGATAGATTAATGCTTTTCTTTGGTTAGACTTTTATAATTTCACCCAATCCCTGTGGAGACAATACTCACTCATCACTTTATTACTTGAGCGATTGTGTATACTTGCACATTATTTGTGTATAATTTTATAGTACTCACAACACACAACAATAATCATAGTTTAAAAACAGTAGTAGTTTGTTTCAGTAAAACAAATTTTTAGAAATCACTGTAATACCCTCCAACCAAACACTTTATATGCAGTTCCCCAGAACTACATCCATAAGAACTTACCCTAGGCACATTGGGCGTAGGAACCAACCTAAGAGGGTACCTTGGGGCCTATGGGCCTACTAAAAGGTCACCTTAGGTCCGTAAGGAAATTACCAATTTGATCAGAGCTGAATCTTTATACTTCAGAATCCGACCCAGATAGTATCCTAGTAAGAATAAGATTGAGCAGTAAACTATAATGTCATAATCATGGTCCAGTAGAATGTCGTAAAAATGATAGAGAAATTTATTTAAATCATGTAACTGCTCCAGCATTACACAAAAATACAGTCCCCTAGAACTGCATCCATAATGACTTACCCTATACTCATTTGGTATAGGAGCCAACTTAAGGGAGTACCTTGGGGCAGGTACCGATTTCGATGACCAATTCGAGTAAATGACAGTGATGATGGCGTCAAATACCTTAAGTATCCATCACCGTATTTTGAAGGTAGATCTCAAAGTGGAGTGATGTTCAATACTCCTCTTATTGAAGAAGCAAACGAAGATGAAAACGATCAAGGCAGACAACCAAGACGAAATCGACAAGCCTCACGCCATTATCATTCGACCACTCCTCGACATCGTTAAAAATTACAAAAATATAAATAAATTTTTTTATGGATTGTATTAGTTTGTAATAACTTTTATTGTTATTTTGTGATAAGTTATTTTGTATTAAACTATTTTTAAATTTTTAAATTTAAATTCGACCAAACTTGTCACGTTGATGTGACAAGTTTCAACGGTTATATTTTTTTAAAATTCAAAAGGTACTCGTTACCCAACGACTAGTGGAGATTTAAATTCCAAAGGAATTCGTCACCTCGACGTGACGAGTTCTACAGTGGTTTTTTTTAAATAATTTTTAAATTAATTACTGAATTTAAAAAATAGCTTTTCAACATACTCATCCATCAGCATGACAAGTTCCTAAAAATAAATTATAATATTGGCCCACTTACCTGGGACCATTAAAAAATATTTTTTGGGCAAACTCATAACGTCGGTAGGACAAGTTTGCATTGTACTGTAACATTTGTAAGTTTACAAAATATATTCCATTGTGGCATATTGGGCCAATTAATTTTGATATCTGCCTTATTGGGCCAAAAAACCTACAAAATTATGTTTGAAATTTGAGGGGAGCCCAAACCAATACTGTGCATAAGCAGCAGTATAGACAGCTCCTTGCTAAGACTATTTTTTTTTGGCAGGATCAGGATGCTGTTAACTAAATCATACAACACAAGATAATTGTTGCACGTGTTAATTTTGATATAACTGATATGTACAATCAACTACACATTATTGTTGGACATGAATAAAAGACTAATTTAACTCTAGACAAGAATTAAACAATGGAGTTTCTTGAAAACTATTATCTTCATCAACTCTTGTACTCGGACCTAACTAATCCCCAGCCTGAACATTTTATGCCTCCTCTCTCACATGAAACATAAATTTCATGCAAAAACAAAAATTCTCAATACTCTTAATTATCAGACTTTTTATTATAATATTGCTTATGACTTTACCTTTCTTCCCCTTCATACATTTATTTTCCAGGGCAAGACCATACAAGCAACAGTATTTTTGATGAATCTAAGCTAGGCAAGGCGAGATAATAATTCCGAACAGAATTGATGATTAGAAGTATCTTAACATAATCAATTTCCAAAAGAACAAAACCAAGATAATCAGCAATTTTAAGTTCCATTTGCAATGAATTAATACACCAAATCTACTGCTTCCTTCAAGCATGCCAAAAATTCCAAAGGCATTTGACATTTCTATGTATGACATTTACTTTGAGTTAAACCCTCGAGGAATATATATAAAAAAGCTCAGGTCTAATTACCTGTTTAAACCTACCCTTCCAGTTAGAATGAAACCTACTCCCACTTTCTCTCCAAAGGGTTGATTGTAATGGCTAGCCAATTCTCAGCTCCTCCAGACCAAAAGGAGGAACAATGAAAACCCAAAAACTTCCAAACCTTCACATTCTAACACTGTAAACACGCTATTTGCATGCAACAAAAAGTTCAAGGCCCACTAATATTAAACATGTTACGAAACACTGCCCAAAACTCTCCTTAACTCAGATTTCTGTTCTGTGGTTAGCCTTGATGGGTACTTGACATCTAATTTGATCCTCAAATTACCCTTTTTCCCAGGTTCTTTCGAGATAGGCATTCCTTCGTTTGGAACCACAACTTCAGCATCAGGCTTGATGATATCAGTTAGAGGTGTCACAAGATTCCTCCCATCCAGAGTAGTCAGCTCAAGAGTCCTACCAGTGAGGGACTCTAGCAGAGTAATCTCCTGATTGACGACCAAATCATTACCATCCCTTTTATAAAGGGCATGTGGTTTCTCCTCTATCACAAAAATGACATCAGCAGGGATTATACCAGGCTCCTCATTGCCTTTCTCCGGGAATGTGATCTTTGTTCCCCTCTTCCAACCAGGTTTTATTTCAATGGTCAATATCTCCTCTACAGTCCTAGACTTACTGCAAGAAAGTAGTTCAGTTTTCAGGTCAAAGTAACAGCGGCAAGTATTCATGTAAATAACACCACAAAGACTATTACCAAAAACGAATAGAAAAAGACTAATGCAGAGCCAGACTGGGTGTCATGAGATGAAAGCTTTAGTTTATCTGTCTATTTTTCTATCAAACTTGAGAATGCTGCAAGAATTCATAATTCATATTTCGTTCTACTTCTCTAGATGATCTTTAAAATCCCATTGGTACCCACAAATAACCTGTGTTGTAATACAATTGGATAAAAGAGGAGCTCTTGCTTCCTTGCATATAGGCTCAAAGACAAACAAGCAGGTTCATAGTGAAAAAGATGGAAACATAGACACAAGAAATTTCTAACATGCACAGGCTATCTTAGCATCATTAGGAACTCTAGAAAATTAGAATTGCAGTAGCATCTAGTCCTTACATTTGCATATTACTTCATGAGTAAAACGCAGTAGTATTTGACTCGGTTAGTCCAGTTTTTAAAACCTACCCATACATCCCAAACAAATAAAAGGATCCCACCTCAAACCAACTGCAAAAGCCAAGATAGAAACCATTATCCATATCGACCCAAAAGGACAATGACATGTTAGCATAACCAAAAGCATGAAGCGGCGGGTGGCTTTTTTTCTTTATTCCCTCGACTGGGGTTGATAGCTTTAAAGATGGAATGACGAGGGTTGTGTGTAATGGTGGTTTATCACATAAACAAATTCTTAACCGAGAACAATCTCCTAGCAAAAAGTGAAACAGAATTATTCAAATCTCAGAATCTTATCTTTAGAGAACAAAATGTCCTTACTATGTATCCTAGGGTCTATAAGACATAAGTACCTTATGGCCTTTACAAACTTAGAAGTGAGATTATTGAGGAGATTTAGGTGACTCAAAACCACCAGATTCACTTGGAAATCTTCATCTCTATTCCTAAACAAAGAAGCATATGCTGTGATGTTATAATATTTAATCATCCTTAATAGGAGTTTATTTATTCTGTACAGTAGGAGGGTTTGAACTTAAGATCTTTAACCAACCCGAAACACCTGATGTGAAAACGCTGAGAAATTCAACAGCCTCTGCTTGTCCAATGCTAACCTCATCCCACGAAAACATGGATTGATACTTCTTATGATCAACAAGAAAACAGAAGAACTTTCCTTCCTTGAGTCAACATTTATTTTTAACTAAAAATGAAACGGCCCCGGTTATTTGGTATCCATAGTAAACAACTCGAAATGTTTTCTGACCATAAATAAAACCAAATAGAACAAGAAATTTAATACAAAGAATAAGCAATCATAAGAAGCTAACTCCTAATCGTAGGAAGAAAATTACTCGCACCCCTAGCATTGGATGCTAAATATAATATAGCTCAGGCTTGCTGTTTTATAAGAAGCAATTAAAGATATAACATTGCCTGCCATCAAGCAACAACGGGTTTTATCTTATCCAGCAAACATTTCACTATCAAACAAACAAAGTTCCCATATTTTCAACAACATAAATCACAATAAACACCAAGAACCATTTCCACCATCTAGCAAACAAAATTCTTATATTTTCAATAACATAAATCCAATAAATAGTAATCTCATTTTATACATGATTAAAATTAAAGGCATTAAAGTTACATATATATATATAAATTGGCTTACCCTTGGACGGATTGATCAAAAACATTCCTGGAAATCCTCATTTTCTTCTTGGCACCATTATAGAGCTCTTCCAGGCTACAAGGCAACACATTTTCCACAGAAGCGGCTTTCCTCATTTCTCCATTACTACTACTGGTACTGGTACTGGTACTAGTCCCGTAACCACCACCACCATTATTATTATTATTATTATTCCTAAATTGCCCTTCTCTAAACCCTCTATTTCCTCTTCCACCATTGGACTCCGCCCCAAACAGTTCCTCATATATATCATCGGCGTTCCGTGGATTAAACCTGAAAGAACCGGTATTAGGTTGCTGCTGCTGCCTCTGGTTATTATAGTAATGGCCAGCTCCGCGGGAATATGACGTGGAAGCGTGAGATTGGTTAGGCGGAGCAGAAGAAGCCGGGAACTGTCCGGATTTGAGAGCCTCCTCGCCGTAATGATCGTAGATCTGACGTTTCTGGGGATCGGAGAGAACATCGTAAGCTTCGGAGAGAAGCTTGAATTTGGCCTCGGCTTCGGGTCGTTTGGAGGAAGGGTTCTTGTCCGGGTGCCAAATCATGGCCAGCCTTTTGTAGGCCTTTTTGAGATCGTCGTCGGTGGCATGGCGATTCACTTTGAGGATATTGTAATAATCGACGCCCATTGTTCTGGGTTTGGGAATACAAAATTGAGGAATATAACCAACCCTGAAATAGGGAAGGCAAAAGGGAAGATCAACTGAATGAATGATAATCTTATAATTCTTCGTTCGACTAAAATTAATGACATATTTATGTATTTCAATAATAATTAGTATTACCATAATAATATTTTTTATATAATCTTTAAAAAATTATTTTTATCTACCAGTCAAACTTTCTTTTAATTACTTAAAGATTTTATCATTTAACTCATAATTATGTACAAATCTGATCTTATATTATAAAAATCTTTTGTAGGCCCAATAACGGGACGCTAACTATATTTTCAAAAATACGACACTGATATGCTTGGGTTTAATTTAAAATTAATTTAGGGTTTTTTAATTAATTTTTAGAATATGTTTTTTTCTTATTTTTATTTGGTTGGCGTAAAAGTATGGTTAATGTAATTTATTTTTTTGTGAATTAAATTTTTCTGTATTTTTTGAAAAATTATTTACGATTTGATTTTTCATAAGTAATTTTATAAAATTTTCACTTTAAATCATAAACACTCAAAACATTACTATTTTATATATTTAATATTAATATATTATTTTAGTATTTTTAATAAAATTATTAATTATTAAATTATATTTATTAATAATTTTAATAATATAATATAATATTTTATTGTTGTAATTATATTATTATAATATTCTAATATTTTAAAAATAATAAAATTTTGTTAATAAATAATATTATTTATTGTATTTGATGTTTATAATAAAAAATTAAAAAAATATCAACCAATGGAAAATGAATTACACAACATCATCCAAACATTGTAAAATGATTTTCGAAAAATATAATTCATTTTACGGAATTCATTTTCTGGAATCTGTTTTTCGTGTAACAAACAGATCCTTAGTGAATTTATGGAGTGATATAAGTGGTTAAATAAAATGTTATTCTTTTTAAGGTTTTGGGTTTGAGTAGTTATGTTTTCATGTGTATAAGTTATCAATAAGTAAGAAAAATTTGTGAATATATATAGGGCTAGTATCCAATTACATGGTGTAAAACTAAAAAGTTTTACACCTATTTAGGATCGTTGGATGAGAGAAAATAAAAGATGAGATTAACAGTAGGAAAGGAGAAGATATTCGTTGGAAAAAAACAATGAGTTAATATCAGTCTTTGATTTCTCTTGATCCAATGATCCTAAAAGGGCGTAAAACTAAACATTTTACATGAGCATAACACACACACACACATATTAATTTGTAGTTTTATAAAACCCCAAATTTTGACTAGTGACTAAAATGTAAGTTTTGAAAGTTTGGTGGCTAAAGTATAAATTTTGTAAAAGTTTAGGGGCCCAAAAATATAATTTTGTAAAAGTTATATTTTGGGTCTATAAATAAGTAGTTCATCCCAAAAGAAATATTTTAGTTGGTTTTAGAATTTTGGTTTGGAGTTTGTATAAAAGTTTATTAAAGGACAAAGATCGAAATTATATTCGGATAATCGGATCGAATTGGAAGTCTATAAAAATTTTATGAAAGGTAGTTTTGGGTTATAAAAATTATATGAATGTTTTTAATTAGTGAAATTTAAGTTGGATTGGTGGAATTTGGTGAAAATTGCACTATAAAGTGGAATATTGCAATTTAGTGACTAAAATGAAATTTTGGAAATTTGATGGTCAAAAAGGGAATTTCAGAGATGAGATTTTTACATCCATTTAATAATATTATAAATTAAATGAGTGGCATGTAGGTAAAAATAGGGATTCATTAAGGCAATTTAGACTTTTGGATGAAATTGAATCAAAAATCCAATTTAATTAGCTTTTAAAAGTCAAATTTAGGAGATATTTGCTTAGAATTTTAAAGAAATCAACTTCTTTCTTCCGGCGAGCTTCCGAACCTCCATAGTCAAAGGTGAGTTTTTTTTTTAATTTTTGGTCCATTTTAATTAAATTTTGGACTAAATTGTGAAATATAAAAATAATCTCCATTAAATTCTCTTTCATTCCGTAGTAAAATATCATGGTTTCATGCTTGATTTGGGAAGTTGTGAATTTGGTGGATGAAGGGGAGATGTGAATTTAATGAAATAAGGTTGAATTTATATGTTAGTAATGTTATAGAATGGAAATCAAGCATGAAAATTGATTGGAAATCATTGGGCCATTAAAGTGAAATTTTCAGCGCCACTATGGAAAATTTTAGGAAAATGTTAAATTTGAATACTTTGATATGAAATTGATTGAGAATGGTTGAAATTGAAAGAAAATGAATTTTGGGTGATGAATCCATGTTGGAATCAAAATTTAAATCTTGGGAAATTAATCCCATAAGTTTCGACCATATAGAGGAAATATGGGAAAATATATAAATTTTTTTTAAGGGATTAGCTTGAGTATAAAAATGATTGGATGTTCTTTGATTTTCAAGTTGAATATCGATTGAGTTGTTAGAGACTGTTTCGCAAAGTTTGAAAAATTACAGGATTATAAGGTAATTATGGGAAAGTTAGAGTATCACGTTGAAAATTTATGGTTTGAATGATACAATGTTGAATTATAATGATTACATGCCAGAATTTTAAATTTGGAAGTTGGTTGGAACCAAATTATAAGTTTGGCAAATTTTAGTGGTGGAATTCGAAAAGTCCTAAAGTTTAGGGACTTAATTTCAAGTTTATTAAATGTGAAAGTATCATTTGGGTAAAATAGCACAATGTTGGAAATTGTATTAGTATGCTGATTTTTGGAGTTTGATTACAAGTTAGTAGCAAATTGCAAGTTTATTAAAATAATGGGTTAAATTTGAAAATTCTAAGAAAGTTTAGGATGAAATTGTAAGCTTTTGAATGTTTAAGTGTTGGTTTGAATATTTTAATAAGGTTATGGAAAGTTTAGAAAAATTAATATGGAATGATCATAATGATGAAGGGTTATCATGAATTTAATGGAAAAGTTAAGGCGAATTCTAGGATGAATTCATAATTAGTGACTTGATTTTGTAAATTACCAAAAGTTGAAGGGTTGATTATGGAAATAGATATTTATGGAATTTAAAGAGTATGTTTGAGAAGTTTGAATTTATGATTGAAGTATGGTTTAGTTTTATATCGATTTAAGTATCTATTTTATTTCTATTGAATTAATATTTAAGCTTAGATTGTGTTAGTTCGATACTAACATATAGTTTGAATATTTTATGTTATTATATAACGACATTAGATCATGATAAATCTAGTGATCCTAGTAACTCAAAGGGGAAGAAAAAGATACGGGATTGAGAAGATTATCATGGAGAAGGTTCGATAATGAGGCAAAGGTGAGTGCATTTAACTTGTATTTATGTTATCGAAATAAACATTGGCTTGCGATGAGCCAATGTCGGAGTAATGTTAAGAAGTGACTCCTAGTTCATGAGAAGTGTACTTCAAGTGTTGAGTTAATCGATCGATGAATCGACCAAGAGGAGGGTGAATTGACAATAAAAGTTTTGGTGTAAGATTTTGCAGAAAATTGAAAATAATTGCACAGCGATTTAAAGTGGTTCGACTTTTTCAACCAAAGTCTACGTCCACTACCTTAGCTATCCACACTAAGGATTTTCCAACAAATTCACTAATTTGTTCTTTCTTTTGAGGATAAAGAGTAACCTTACAACTCCCTCAAGAATTATACCCCAGATTCTTGAGAATACTTTCTCCCAAAGAGAAATACACAAATTTGCAAACTCACAGAAACACCTCACAAGGTAAGATGTTTGCACAATTCTAGAACAAAGAAATAACACTAAAAAATAAATACAATAGAGCACAAATGGTGTTCTTGAAAGGAAAATGAATATTGAATGAAAAATAGTCTTGAAATGATCAAACTTGAGGTTTGATGATTTCTCTTTGATTCTCTAGCTTCTCTTCTTAATTGTTGTTGATCAATGGCTCTTAAGCTTGTTTAAATACTCCTTGGATCACTTCTGAACGTTGGAGATCATTAGTGGAGTCAATAGAGCCGTTATTGTGTGAAAACAATTAATAAGACAGTTGGGAGCGTATGGTGCATCGATGCATAGCCAAGGTGCATTTGTACACTATGTGTAAAATTCAAATATTTCGACCGTTATAAGACTTAGTGCATCAATACACTAGGAGTGCATCGGTAAACTAATTACATTCGATGTTTCAAACAAGCCAGGAGTGCATTGATGCATGGTATATGCATCGGTGCATAAAATGCATTCGATGTTTCAATAAAATCCAGAGTGCATCGATGCATGACTGTGCATCAGTGCATAAAATGCATTCGAAATAGGGTGTGCATCGATGCATCATTGAGTGCATCGGTACATCCCTTCATGAAATTGATTTTTGGCTCATTTTTGTTCAAAATACTTTGTGAAAATTGTTTTAAAAATATTTTAAGTTTAAAACACAGTTTTACACTTTAGTAAGGATTGAAATTGATCTTTGAAAGACTTGGAGTAATATTTTGATATTCGAATAATTGAATCGAATATACTTAAAAAATATTTGTAAAATCTTAAAATTAATTTATACTTAATTTGTTATATCGAAACATCAAAATGTTTTCAACAATCTTCCCCTTTTTATATAACAAAACACTTGAGTAATTTTAAGATTTTCTTTGAAAATAATTTTTGAAATCAATTTTGATTTTGTAAAATTACTCCCCCTTGCTATATTCTCCCCCTTTTTGTTAAATTGAAAAGACTCTATAAAAAAATTTTAAACAAGATTTTGAAAAATTTAGCCAATTGATTTTAAATAATAATAGCATAAGCTGCTAAGATCATAATCAGGAGAAAGGTTAGCCATTAGCTTCATAATTCAATATTCATAAACAATGTGTAATGGTAATTAGTCATATTTATCTAAAATGTAAATGATGCAAAAATAATAAACATTAAGCTCAAATTGAAAATTCAAACCAAACCAAATATATATAAGCATTTAAGTTTTTAATCATTCAAACATCCACATCATCAAATTCAAACTAAACAATCAAAAACAATATAAATCCAAAAACATTCAAAATGCTTTAATAATAGGTTC